ATCGTGCAGTAGGATATGTTATTCGAATGCACCATATTTGAAAACATTCGCACAGACGCTTAGGTCATATCTACACAGTTGAATAAGCTATAAGCTATAGCATATGAAAGCCCCACCTTTTCATCCCCAATGGATCAGACATTAAATTTACCATTTTTGAACAAGCTAATAAATTTCGAAAACAATTAATCATTTTGTACAATTTTAATGTCAATTTTTTACAGTAGCAGTAATAGATGTATGTACGCGATTTCATATAAGCGGGGTTTTTATATATGTAGAATCACTTTCTGCTATTGGACCCATGATAATGCATGAATGATCAAACATCTTTGCTCGACTCTCCTATTCTCGTAGTGGATCACTTTACAAAGTTGTTTTGTTTACTTCTGCTTGCATTATGCGGGGTTGTAATCTGGAATTATCTAAAGCGGAGAGCATATGACCTAAACATCCGCCTATTACAATCTTAGCCTGCTCATTTTATCGGCCGTGATGTTCTGGCATTATCCTCTCCTACATCTCTCAGCATGCAATTTATGGCGTCTACTTACGAAACATGACAGCTCAAATTCTAGTTATTTTGCATTTTTTAACAAATAAAAATTAATGACAAATGACAAAAGCTAGTGACCTTCTACAAGCAACGAATCTTTTTTGTACGATTTTATACCTTAGTTTCCTTATTTTATATTTCTCAATTTCTCTTCTTTACTTTGATGACGCTGCATGTGCAAATCGATCCCTGGCTCTAATATAATCTGTCTGATCCCTGTGATCATCGCCTATTTCGTTCACTCTCCCTAGGCTCATAGCACAATATAGCAGATTCGCTATGACGTCTAGTCGCCAAAAAATGCCAACATCACTGTGGTTGTTCGTGAGTTTAGCAACAGTACTCTTGATTCCGAATTTGGTCTACGCACGCCCTCAAATAGGTAAATCATCAACTTACATGTGAAAAACAACAATTTTAAAGCACTTGTTTTTCCCATCATTTAACTTTTCCTTCTCACATGTGATACACTCATATTTCAGCTGAAGGAGCAGGTACCGTTGTTGGTGGAGCCGTTGGTGCAGCAAAAGGTGCCGGAGAGGTTGTTGGTAAGTAGCAATCAATTCTTGCATATTCCTTTAACAATATTAGCGCAAAAAATGGAATTAGCAATAAATGTCTAAAAGGATTATGTTCCAGCTGAAGGAGCGAGTGCCGTTGCTGGTGGAGCTGTTGATGTAGCTAAAGGAGCCGGAGAAGCTGTTGGTAAGTAGCAATAGATTCTGTAATTTTTCTGAAAATCGTAAAGTGGA